TTTTTTTTTTTTTTTTTTGCGTTTCATTTTCCTTGATTTATGCCTCAAGGTTGAGTTAAATAGCAGTGTTAATAAACTTGCTTAATTCGAGTTTCGCTTTTTTAAGCTTGCTTAATTCGAGTTTAGCTTTTTAAGTTGTCAACGACTGTCCTTTGTGTGGCACTTATATAACTAGACATAGTCCTCTTTATTAACTAGGAACTAGACAAGTGGGTGACTAGTACGAAAACAGCCCTACTAAAAAACATCAATASTGACTCTTTAATAATAAATGGTCGCCTATAAGAGGGTGGTTGCAAAACTGCCAAAGACATTTAATCAGAACTTGAGGCCGCCCTTTATGTGCCGGCAATAGCAAATGCACTTTTGAAAACAGTCATAACTCAACTATTATAGAACTGAAGTTTGTTTAATAATAGCTGTCTGTAAAAAAAGGTGCTTAAATCCAGAGATTGAACTACAGCAGTATCGTTGTACTTAAGTTCAGCTGAAGCAATTGCTTTTTCTCTCTACCCTAGACCACTATTGACTGACCACATTGGTGTGGTGAGTGTTGACTTAAGACACCTGCTACTATTCATCATAGATCGATCTCCATTGTGTGTCAACAAGTTAATGGCATGCTTTCAGTGGAAAGCTAATTTTRGAATCACAGAGAAAAGGGGCTTTTTGCTTAATCAACTCATTACTACAGCTAGACTTGAAGGCTCGCGAGAAAATAGTCGAAGGAAATACCTTTTTATCTCTTTAAACCTAATTAGGCATTCCAAGCAAGTTACTGAGGGTTTTTACGTTGTTCAAAAAGGACCATCTGCTTTTCTTTGCTTTAGATTCTAGTATATATAACCCTGAACTATATCGTCATATTTYCAAAAGTTATTAGTCATATAAGCCCAGCTCCCATAGTGATTAGGATTAGGTTCATGGCTAGCTAAAGTTAGCAAGGTAGGCATCATGTCTAGGCTTCTTTGAGTTACGAACAAAATAGTCATATATGCATACAACAGACCCTACGAGCAAGCTGTTTAAACATWTATTTACACCGTTCTAATCTGTTTATTTTGTTCTCTACTATTGTGTTACTCTAGCAAATTATGAACTATTTGCGACCTAACGCGCGCGCTCTCATTAGCTGGTTACCGTGTTTATACGAGAAGATAGAAACCTGCTTGCGCAAAATCGTGGGAAAGAAACATTCATAAAAGCAATATAAAACGTCCACTCGTGTCTCTTTGCTATAATATAATCAATATCAACTCTCTAGGAAGCGCAAAGCACTCAAAAAGGAAGATAGCATATACTATACCCCAGACATACAAACGTCTGTAAATTTGTCAATTTTCAACTAAAGTTTTCTCGGCCAATATAACACCTGACATAATGAATCTTCGCACTAAAGTAAAAATCCTCTTTCTAGTGCTAGTATTGGATTTTTAATTTAAATCATTTCAATTTTCACATGCATCCAGGCTTTCTCTATCATATCTGCCTTGTGTTTTGTTTTTAGATCCTGACTGACCGGTTTTGCCRGTTTTAACAACCATAAATTCGGAATTTTATTAGACATTCAGTAGCCAGACTTAGGAGTCGGCTTATTTTATATAGAGGTTTCCATGTCTTTTCCCTTTTTGTTTATTTATTATCCTTGTTATCTTTGATTGCCAATGTGTATTTCCTCGCCTTGAAACTCTATTCATTAAGTCGTATTTATCCTAACTAGTACACAAAAAACTCAACGACCGAGWTATTTAACCATGAAACTGGTGCTTATCGATCGTTATTTGTTTTAAGGTTAAACACCCGCTGAAGTTAAGAAAGCTGCTTTTGAATCGTTAGTGGCGGATCATGTGGCTTAATAGTCGTTGTTTACTGGAGGAAAAGATGTAATGTTTTGTAATTACACATAACAATTTATATGGAAAACAACAAAGAGATCGATCACCGATCTTCTTAGGGGAAAAAAACAACCGGCTCGGGTCCTTGAAACTTATTATTGTCRAATCATAGTTTATTTTCGACTATATTGAGTCAGTTGTGAAATAACGAGTAGTTACTTATCAGCACAATTTGATTATTTGGTTATTTTCTATGAACTAAACTTTAAGATTATCTTCTAACAAACACCCACTTATGAATATTGAACAAAAGCTACGGGTGGTTCGCGTTTATGGTACAAAAGAAAGCRTTGTAATGTGCGGATTAAGACAATACCGTCTTGCGCTAGAACCACATGGTTGAAACGTGACTTGTCGCTTCAAGCATTGGTTTTAAACCAATCAGCATCAGAAAGTAAAATATGAAGACCAGTTCTAGTTCCGAATATGTTGGAAAGGCAATTTAGAAAGCTCTTTAACTACAAGAGATTTCACTATAAAGAACCTCGCGTACTGTAGCACTGAAGCGGTATTCCCTATCTCTTCATATTTTCCATTTCCTTATGAATATGTGGGAATGAAAAGAAGGGAAAAAGAGAAATAAAGAAATAAGGAAAAGAAGAACAGAAATAACTGAAATAAAATGAAAACGAAAATAGAAAAGTAAAAAAAGAATGATTAAGAGTTGGTCACACTTTTTCTCAATTATTCGTTACTTCTCCCTTAAAATAACCGTTGATATATAATTTTAGTTAATATGAAAATATTCGGYAGGTTAATTTCTATTTTTAACGATCTTGGTAATCTCTAATGGCTATTTTCGCGAGAAACAATTATCAACTGTCGGTCAAATATTTTAAAAAAGATTTCTAAACATCTAGTCAAAATCTGCGTGACTCAAGGAGGAATTTTCCCATTATAAAACTGACTTGACAATTACCACAACTTGTGGTGTAAACACGGTAAAAATAGTAACTGCTTTTTACAAAAATAGCTCAAGTGCTTAAAGATCTAGGCTTTTTGCCCGCCTGGCTTATAAACATCTTAAGAAAGGAAGTCAGAGATGGGAATAGTAAACACCAAGATAACCACCCTTTTTTTGAAAACAATTATTATCTTCTTCTCMCATCAGAGTAGAGTGTTGGTTATTATTATCCTGCCAAAAATCTTTTTTCTTTATCCGGTTTTTCATAATACGATATCATACTGATTTGCAAATAGTAAGTGTTTTGTTTATTCAAGCACCGAATGTCAATTATGCTCCAAGGGATACGGCACGTGGGGGTGCATGGCGGGTGTTCATGAGAGGGCATGACTTTGAACGCGAATATTCGTGTTGTAATAATTGTGTTTGGAATTAAGTCWAATTTAGGATGGCTTAGTTAGATTCGCATCTTATCTATCATATGTGAGTAGAATTTTTTAGGTCTCTCTATGGGTCTCTTTCTTGATTCGAGGGTTTTTCTCGGGTTTTCGTTCATCCGCCAAACCTACCAAGCTAAATTCCAATTCGATCCCTGAGTTATCCATGCCTTGACTTCGATAAGCCTAGATGTTGTTTCAGGGTATCATTCGATAGAATTTAAAGGTGTTTGGTTATGATGCCTTGTCACTGCATCAATTGCAAACAGTCAATGATGTGAAACCCCTGGGGGTGTGGAGTGTTAATGTGGGTTATCTTGGCGGACTGTTTACGATCAGTAAACYTCAGTATTCCCTGACCATTACCAAGCAGCCATGTATTATAGATGACGTTGGTGATTGTAGGCAGTTTAAGCTATTATCTTGAAAATTAATTATATACATTTTTGGGCTTGGTAGAGTTGATTTAAGCGCGTCCTTGGTCACCCCCTCGGCGATATATATCGAAAAGAAACATTTAAACATTACCCACTAAACTTCTGGTGTGGCCCGCAGACATTACGATCACAACTAGTGAATTTGTTTTGTCTTTAGTTATCAAATGCACTATAAAGTTCGGCCGGAAATTTGGATAATAGTGAACTCTTTTCTTTCCTTTTGTTTTGTTATTTTTCTATTCATTTTGCCGCTGTTGTTGGTTTCTATTTGTTTATTTTCAAAACGAGTTGGATTCACATTGTTTAATGCGAGTCAAGTTGTTTGAGTGATCTGTCATAGGCGGTCAATATTTTTAATATACATGCAGGTCCTGTATTATTTGCTAGTACATAAATCCGTYTCCAATCCGTATTTAAGTGGCATAAGCGCGTATGTCACAGTAGGCCTCGTGGTTAGTCCCGGTGTTGATATTAGAAATCATTGCCTACAGGTACGACTGCAGGTGGATGAGCTAAGCTTTTTGATCGCTTTGACAATGTTGATTGTCTCGACAATACCAAAATTTCAAAGGAGATTCTTAGAGTGCATACAATATATCCGTTAAAAAAAATTGTAAGAAATTGCACAAATTTGCACGAATTAGGAAGTTCAGTAGACCTCACATAGACTGTAGGCCTACAAAACTTTGCTTTATAAATTTGTGCAATTTTGTTAGTTAACATGGTATGACTATTCACTGCATTAGTTACGCTAAATTGCTTACATTGTCTTGACTATTACGGTAAAYTTTAGAGCCTTCTTTAATAAAGCTATAAACCCTAAGCCTCCTATTGTCATAGGGTAGGCGGTATGTTCATATTTTCGATTATTTTCGGATTGGTTGAATTGTACGAAAACCATTTTATTGTTACGACAGGAAGTACCACTCATCTTCTCGTTGTAACCGCAGTTGTAAGTCTATACCGTGCGATTCCTACGTACAAAAGCCACTTATTTAAGAGCGGATTTATSGTGAAGTTTGATGACAAAGGCCGCAGTAGATTTCGTTTGAGTTTGAAATTTACTCACTGTGATTTTCAAATAGCCTTTAAATTCAGGCATTTTTATTGGATGGTTGTCCAACTTGTTTGTTTTAGCTTTTTGATAGGGTAGATGATAGGATATTAATAACATCAGCTTTATTAACAATATTGATAAGAAATGGGGGTTCATTCTTAATCACTCGATTTCAGAAAGCGCGATCGCTTACGAAATAAATATATCAAAAGGAATGTACTTGGAATGCAGATGATGATAGCAATAAAATCAATAGGAATAACAGATGTTATTCAAATATTAATGTTAATGATGATAATCTTTATAAGATGGTGATGTTGATAGCAATTATAATAACAATGGTTTCAGATAGTGATATGTGTACTTAAACTAAGTGATATARCGACTGGTATGCATAAAAATTGCATAATCTTGACATTAATCTCTTTTATCGTATTTTCTAATGTGCCTGCCTTTGAATAACGCACTCGGGGTTTAAAATATCTCGTACCGCGTACCGGTCATCGGAGAATATCCTGCTAGAATTCCTGAATTGCACGTTACGTCATCGCGGCCATGTTGGTGCCATTTAAAAAGAGATTTCTCATTATCATCCATTGTTAGCGGTACCACAATGGCCGCCATCTTTCTAATACTTTTAAATCGTGTTTATTTTATTCATTCGTTAGACACTGAATAAAATCAATAGTAATTTCTTTGTTCGTGATAAAAAGAGCCTGCGTGCCCAACTCAATGTAGGGCTGCGGTTAACACCCACGCAGTCGGTTTAATCATAGGTATTTAATCTTTCCACATCACATTATTTACCACAGGAGATTCAACCAGGTGGTCAACTGCTGTCGTTACTTCGTTAATCAGACCGGCCAAGGCTTGGTTACGTTGTTGTTGGGGATCAATGCCATGGGGAGTCCGCAGAAAGGCCAGAGAAAGCGATCTGCGGCTACTGGTACCCAGACCACTCCAGAAGTTGTTGAATTTGCTCGCAGTTGTGGCGTAAATGTGGAGTCTCTGAGGGCGTTTTGTGACAAGTACACAAGCACCAGATCAGTAACTTGAAGCATGTGGCTAGAAGATGGTGGGGCTTATTCCACGTGTGTTAAGAAGAAGAATACCACAAAGACTGTGGTAACAACAGACCTCCAACGGTCACAATCAGTTCTAAAGAAAACAGTCTGATAGGCACTTAAGAGATTCCACCAGGCAGACTAGAGCCGGGCTAAGCTGTATTCAGTACTCTAYGCAAATCAGTTTTCAGACGTATTTCTAGAACACTACTATAACAGTCATGCAAGAAAACATCTAACACAGGCCAATRATCTCTTGCCTTTGTGCATTTGAAGGTTCAATGGATCGAAACTACTTTAGTAGAAATCGTTAATTTTATCGAAGATTTCTAGAGTGGTCCTATTATATACCTTCGTTTGGTTGAACTAYAGGTAACAAATTACGACAAAGCTAGATACAACATAGCCAGACACGGAGTTAAGACGTTACTAGACGCATTGCGCAGAGCTAGACTAACAATTAAAGGTTTTCATGGTTACCAGGGTTTTTTTCTAGTAAAGTTAGGTCGTTAAACGTCGAAATCAATCAGGACACTTACCCTTGACATTGTATATTTTAGCTTAGGGGACTTTTGGAGCACCTTCAGGCAGCTTGGTTATGGTAAAGATATCAAATCCAATGRCGCTTGACTCAGTTTGCACATGTCCAATTTATCTGTAGAGCAAAGGATAAAACATTCTGTAATTAGGAATGGATCTATTAAAAACTCAATGTGGTGTACTGAATGAGTCTGTCTGTCTTTGATATAACAAAATACTGTATTTAGCACTCCGCACAATCTCCTAAACTTTAGATATTTTGCTTAGACCTTTGGGGAGCAATAGGATGCAGCATGCCGTACGTTCCTAGTTAGACAATTCGTCATGCTGCCTCATTTTCTGCAAATGCTGGCACCRAGATAGACCAGATTGTACCTTTTTTCAATTTCTAAGAATGGGGCAAACATGAAGACTGAAGGCATTTCGTCCCTCCCCCATCCCCCCTCACTTCCAGATCAGACCCCTACCAAAAAAAAAAGTTATTTAGCAAAGACAAGTCCTTTCACGACAGCAAATATTTATTGAAAAGTTAATTCTTTTAAATACAAGACTGTTAGTGGGAAATACACTTAAAAGATGCCGCTGCAACATGTTAGCATCCATTGGTAATACKTACGACTTTAATAGGGATATACACGACGTTTACTTTACGTCATGATATTTTAATGATAGACTTTTACTCAACATTAGTTTTTATCCCGTTTTACCCAATATTTCAAGTATGCCTCCAGACGTTGGTGGAATTTCGAACGTGCCAACCCCCTCTCCAATATYTTAACGTAAAAATCCTGGTGCAGTTTTTTTTTTCGTTGTTGAAGACTGGGAGTAATGCGAGTTTGCCGCCATTTTTGGAGCCGCAGATTTAGTAATTCTAAGAGGCGCAATTATAAAGGTAGATCTAGTCTAAACATTAGTGGAATCTTATTCATGGTTAGTCTAGAGGGCGTACATCTAAAACAGTCCAAAATGAGGTACTGGTTTTCGAAAGCCAATTACTCGAACAGTTTTCTACTAATTTTGTTGGTAGCCAATTGGAAATCCTCTTRCTAATTGACTATTAACTGATCTGAACCGCCCTTGGGGATAGTCTAATCCGATTAATGGCTTACAAATCCCACTTGCTATCAAATTTTAAAACGACTTAGTATTGAAAATTTGATTGCTTTAGCCCGTTTGTACTGGTCTTAATGATCTTGTTTTCAATACTAGAATGCGTAATAATCCAGGACTCCTAACGACTGAAGGGATTTTGATGTCAAAAGTTGGTAACTTAGCGGTGGATTATCGGGATTACTGCTCTTAATATGATGTGCAAGACAACCTCGCGCGCCATAGAAATGCCATATGAGAGATGACACTTAAAACATATCTCATGACTCAGCGTAAACACAGTAACCTTAACCTATAAAAGAAAAACAGCTTTTATGATATAAATGGAAATRATAAGTAGGACTGAGGAAATGATGCCGCATCCTTGAGGGGTATCATAATACTTTGTGTACACAGTGGATTGAAGGCCGTGCGCAGAATAACATATTATCAAATGACAAGACCGGATAGAAAAATTCAAGGAAGGATTCATATGTCCTGAGCTATCAATGTACCAATGTAAACTATGGCTCTAATGTCGCTCCCTGCAATAATAGTTGGTGAATCGATAAAATATCATTGAATTATTTGAGGCCTGATGGGAAAGGATTGCGTGTGAGCCCTCTGTGGAGTCTATCACAGTGCGGTATCTGGTTGAATAAAACGAAAAGAAGATGAAATGAAAAGATTAAATCAGAAAATTAAAGTTTCGTGGTGAGCGTCAATTAAGTTGTTCTTTTCAGATATATCGATGAAAGGATATAAATATTTATTAGCAATTAGATATCGATGCCTGTAAATGGGGCCTAGTACAATGATGGGCAATTACAACATACTACATTTCGTAAAAAGCGTGGGGTTAAGATACTGTGAATTGCTTAAAAGCCTGTCTTATCCTGTAACGGAAATCGATCACATTTCAAGAAGTCACTGACACGCAAATGCACTRACAATAATAAATTTAGCGATCCGTTCCGACCCACGTTAGCAGGCTTGTCATTTGAGTGTTGTACGTAAAGTAATGGCTATATTGTTTTGAGGCTGGGAAGTTTGTAATTGAACAGGTGAAGGCTAAAGATTTACACAAGTTGTACAACAAATAGACATTTTCAAGAGAACATTTGTATGCATTGTCTTAGRTGTACAAATACAATTCTAGCTTTTTTTCGTACTCTTATAACGTCAAAATGTCAATCAATTGCATGGAAGTTTGATTTGTTTTTAATATTGAATGTCAATACAGGCGTTTTAAAAAGAGTTTTTTGCCAAAAAATGTCAATTGAGGATAAACGGAACTCCGGACGCCTTCTAAGCGCCTCATGATTTTTTTGATAATTTTCCTTTTCCTTGACCATCTTTACTAAAAAACCTGTCAGCAAACATCATATTGCTTATCAGTTATTCTCAAAGCTATTGTAACGGTGAAATGAAATTCAAGAAACAGTCTCTTTCAAAAGTCTCTTTCATATTCTCTATTTGACTTAAAGTTCAATATTTAAAGAGTAAAGCGATAGAACAGCCTTGTTTACACAAAGTATTTAATTGCGCTTTTTTCAATCAGCYTTTTTATATTTACATTCAGTCCTTATCGAGTGCAATTAAAAAAATTGTGATTCATATTCCAGTTTTATTTTATTTTTGTTGCCAAAAACCAAAACAAAATCTTATTTTCAAAAAATCRTCCTCTTTTATCTCTTTACTTTTCCAATAAGGCATTTCCCACGTCTCGTCGCAAAATTATCTCAAATRTTTTAGTACTTATGAGGACAAAAATGAGGCTTCTATAAAGAAGGGAYAATTTTGAAATTGTTGTTACTATACTAGGATCGCTCCATATTGTTTTACTAGGATTAATTAGTTTTTTGGATCGAGCAAAAATCTTAGAAGCAAAAAGCAGAAAAATCTATAGGGGACTTCAAAAACGGCTATATTAGAAGTAAACATGATCACTGCAGTTCCTGAGGAAAGCAAAAGCTTTATTAATTATTTATCTTCATATTAAACATGACTTTTGTTATTCTGTTGCGTTAATAATAGGAGTTTTTKAATGATTTCCCAGCCACTGTGTATTGGGTATGGCCCTAAAAGTGCGCGCCAAAAAAACCTTATTTGAGCCGAACAGTTTCGGCTGTCGTCTTGTACGCCAATTACTAAAGCGCCGTGTTTACATTGCCTTTTTGTTTGCCATSGGTCTCGTTATAGGCAGAGTTGATTATTTTTAGATTAAAAATATCAACATTTAACGTTGTCTTCTTGTTAATTCAACCAGAATACTGGCTGTCGCTTAGTCAGATCTATACTGAGATTGTAACCAAGGATATGAGGGATTGTGAGTTCCTTGGCCGATAGGAATACAAAAAATATATGTTTATTTGTAGAATTTTACTTTATCTTTACGTTGGCAAGCTTAGTATTTATTTATAGGTTTTATTGCTCCCTTTGTTTCATTTAGCTGTAACCATAATTTTCTATTCTGAATTGTTCTATCGACTTTGTGATTGAAAAGCCAAAGACAATAATTCGATGACATGTGCATTTGTTCGGCGATTTGAAAGACATTTTAGAGCCACGAAACTACAAAGTGAGTTAAATTTCRCACTTATTTGATATTTATTTAAAGTGGCTTGCTGTGTTTGTAAATGTGAAAGGTACGAATTACTGCGRCCAGTAGAGCTTTAACGCGCCTATCTCTTTAAGCGCGCCCGGAGATACCATCGGAACCATAAAAGACAGAATAAAAGCCTTTTTAAAGAAAAGGGGAAAAAATCAGGGATCGATATGGAAGATAAGAACAGAAGTAAAGACATGAAAGCAGTTTTTCAACAAATCAAGAAAAAGAAAATTAGTAGTTGAAAATTAACCCCAAAAGGTGTGACAACGATAAGAGGGGACTTTTATCGTCGCGTTTTATTCCCGTTGATATTTGTCATTTCATGCTAAGAACACAAACCACTTTTCGTTATTATTATCACCGAATTGAAAGCGATTCTGGTTTTCATAAATAAAACCCTTGAAAGGAATTAGGAGTGTACTTCTTGAGAAACGAGTAATTCACTCTGGTTGTCTCCGTTAATCTGAAACGTTTAATATCCATTCTAAGTATGCCAAAGTTAATTGCACTTATCTTTTAACGACATCTGGATAATTATTCCAATGTTATTCAAATTTGTCCTTTTTTTCTCGATTTTCTTATCATTTGTGGTTGGTTGAGCCTAATTTGAATAGAAACGAAGCATTTAAATGATCTGCTGTTGCCTCGAAGATAATGTATTCTCTGTACTTTTCATTACGAAAATGATAATATTTTTAAACTGACCAACTTTGATTGATAAATATTACTTCAAACCCGGAGCAATGATATGAATATTTATAAGGTAGTGAGAAATTGGGCCAAACATCGCCTTCAGGTCTTTTGATATATTGTTTACACAATTCGTCTGAAAGGGGTTTTGCTTTTTCGTTATTCAAAGGTTTAACGACGTTGTTTACTTTCGATCTGCAAATAACATCCAGTGTTTCGGGGAATCTAAACATGGATTATTAATAGACGTGAGAGAACATCCAAAACCCCATAACGAAGAGCCACAAAACACTATAGGACCATTTTCTGCGGTTGACGTGTTTAGTTTTACGTTTTCGTTGAAATATACACTTTTACATACATGTTTAGATATGTTCGTGTATATATTTATGTATGTATATATTTATATAGCTCTACGTGTTCTTCAGACTTATTTATTCAGCTTTTTAAATAGACACAAATTAACATTTATTCTCAAAATGGGGAACTCTCCTTTTGGTTGTCGTAAAGTCAAAATAAACCTAACTTTAAGTTATCATGAACAAAAGTATGGTTTAAAATTAATAATAGTGAGGCATCCGCTATGGTTGTTCCAGAACGTTTTCTTTTCTTTTCTTTCTTCTTCTTCTTCAACAATTTTTTTTTACAATTTCTTTCCAGTTGATTGAGTCAAGCAGCGAGAATATTTGCGAACATAAACAAAATAACTTGGTCATGTTGATGGTTTTTGAAAAGATAGAGGAAGCTATTGATTAAAACTAAACCCTGTTACGTTTTCATTTTCATTTCATTTTAT